TATAGGCGCCGAGCCCTATTTTTAAAATTTTATTGTTTCTGTTGTATCTTTTTATACTAAATAACAAAACGTTGGTATAGTTATTTTTGATAAGTTTGTCTTTTGGTCTTCCAACTGAAGATAAAAAAGGTTCATACACCACAAATACAGGGTAGAATATTCTGTGTTTGTGTGTTGCTGTTACCAGCGCGCTGTTTGCCTTCAGATGAGTTCTTGTTGTTCATTAACCTCCTTTTCTTTCCGATAGAAAACTTTCAGATTTCTTGTAGGACAGGTCTGGTGTTGATGAACTCTCTCAGCTTTTGTTTGCTTGGGGAAGTCTTTATTTCTCCTTCATATTTGAAGGATATTTTTGCAGGGTATAATATTCTAAGGTTAAGGTTGTTCCTTCAGCACTTTGAATGCAACCAACCACTCTCTTCTGGTCTGTGAGTTTCCCTGAAAAGTCTGCGTATTGATGCTCCTTTTTTATGTTATTTTTGTTTTCTTTTTTCTTGTTTCCTTTCAGACCTTTTCCTTATCCATCAAGTTTGGGGATTGATTATCAAATGCCTTGAGGTAGTCTTTTTAGGTTAGATCTGCTTTGGTTTCTCTATGACCTTCTTATGCCCAAATAATGATATTTTTCTCTATGTTTAGAAAGTTCTGTGTTATTAATTCTTTGAAAAACCTTTTTACCCCCAATATCTTTTCCTACTTCCTCTTTAAGGCCAATAACTCTTAGGTTTTCCCTTTTGAGGATATTTTCTAGGTCTCGTAGGCAGACTTCATTTCTTTATTCTTTTTTATTTTTCATCTTGTGATCATGTATTTTCTTTCTTTCATTCCTTTTTTTTTGAGACAGAGTCTCACTATGTTGTCCTCATGGCATCACAGCTCACAGCAACCTCAAACTGTTTCACTTATGTAATTCTCTTGCCTTAGCTTCCCAATCAGCTGGAACTTCAGGCGCTCACCACGATACCTGGCTATTTTTTTGGTTGTAGTTGTCATTGTTGTTTAGCAGGCCTGGGGCAGGGTCGAACCCGCCAGCCCCACTGTATGTGGCTGGTGCCCTAACCACTGAGCTACAGGCGCCAAGCCTGATCATGTATTTTCAAATAGCTTGTCTCAACCTGGCCCATTCTTTCTTATGCTTGTTCAGTTCTGCTCTTGAGAGACCCCAGTGCATTTCTCAGTCTGTCAATTGAATTCTTAAGCTACGGAATTTCTGTATTTTTAAAAAACATTATTTCAACCTCTTTTTAAAGTTTCTCTGACTGGCTTCTGGATTCCTTCTCTATATTGTTTGAAGTTCAGTGAGCTTCAGGACAGTTCCTTTGAATTCTTTGTGGGAAAGCTCACCTATCTCCATTAGTTTATTTGGTAAGGTCACATTTTCCTGGAAGTTCTTAATGCTGTGGGATGTCTGTTGATGTTTGGTTTTTGAAGAGATATTTCCTTAAATCTTTGCAATCTGGGCTTGTTTGAATCCATCCTCCTTGAGAAGGCTTTCCAGATACTCAAGGAGAGTTGAGTGTGTGGTCTAAGTCTTTGTCACTGCTGCTGTATCAGCACTGGGGTGCCCCAAGCCCAGCAATGCTCTGACTCTTACAGACTCCTGGTGGCACCATCTTGGTGAACTTGGGTAAGTTATGGGAAAATTCCCTGGATTACTAGGCTAAGTCTCTCACTCTCTGTGCTGGGCTGGGCTGTTGGAGTTAGGGGAAAAGTTATGTGGGCACTTCCTTGTAACCACCAGTGCCAGGTCACTAAAGCCAGCTCAGTCTCACCTAAAGCTTATGGTGACTGCTACTTGGCCACCTTTGATGTTTATTCAAAACCTAAGGCTCTTTCATCAGCAGGTGGTGACTCCTGCGAGGCCTGTGTCCTTCCGTTCAGGGCACATGTTTCCTTGTGGCCCAGGGTAGGTCCAGAAATGCCATTCAGAAAGTAAGGCCTGGACTCAGGGGCCTTAGAAGTGTGCTTGGTGCTACTTTACTGTGGCTTAGCTAGTACCCAAGTTGTAAAGCAAAGTCCTCTGAGCTCTTCCCTTTCCTTTCCCCATGTGGAAGAAGTCTCCCTGAGCTGCTCTGCCTGGAGCTGAGGGATGACACCGGCAGTGGCTTGGCTGCCACCACTAGTGTCTTACTGGGTCACATGTACCCCACATCCACTGGCTCTAAGCCAGCGCAGCCACAGGAATTTCTCAAGAACTACAATCTTCGTGGCCTGACTATCTTGGGCATTTAGTCCAGGGCTACCTTTGCCAGTGGTGGTGGGGCTAGCCAAGAACAGAACTTGGGCTTCAGGGCAGAGAATTTCCCTCTGGCAGGGCTGTCCTGAATGCTCCTTCCATGGGCACTGGCAGATTCTGCCCTATGCTGTGACCCCTGTGCCAGGGCAGCCCTGAGTTTTAATGCAAAGTCCCCAGTCACTTCACTGCCCTCCCCCAGCACACAGGTTCTCTTTCCACTTGGTGCTGCCGTAGCGTTGCTGGGGGGTGGACAGGGCTACACAGGACACGTGGGGCTGTCGTTTCTGCCCTTTCAGTGCCTCTTTACTTGACATTATGTCAAGCCAGGTGCTGTGATGGCTTACCTGATCTTTGGTTCTTCTAAAGGCAGTTGCTTGAGTGGACAGTTGTTAAACTTGGTTTTGTGCAGAGGGACAATTAGTGAGGTTTCTGATCAGCCATCTTGATCTGCCTCCTGTTCATTTATGCTTTTTTTTAAGTTTTAAAATATATATAAATAAAATTATTTTAATCATATTTTACGTATTTGGTTCAGCGGTATTAAGAACCTAAATGCACAGTGTGAGGGTGTTCAGTACACTCCCTGGGCAAAGGGCTCAACTACAACTTGAACTTTGCCTTAGAAATGAAAGAAATGTAACCTAAACATTTGTACCTTTCTATTAATCTGAAATTAAAAAATGAAATAGAAAGAGAACCTTTCCCTTGCGCAATGGAAACAATGTAAACGTTTTTGAATCAGTTTCTTAATTAAATTAATATCAAAATCATTTTATTTGTGAAGATCACACCTTGGCACAAAATCTATGGCACGAGTCATGGGGTTTTCTCATTTTCAGAAACTTGACTTACTTTTTTCTTTAGCTTTTCTTCTTCTTCTGTTTTACTTAGATCACATCTCAGAAGTGAATTTTTAAACATTTTTACTAATATGGATCATCATATTTCAAATGAATGTACGATGTACTGTGCTTCACAAGTAAATATAATACTTAGATTTCAGAACAAAACCTTTACTTAGAAAAATTAGGTAAACTGTAAGATTTACTGCAGATATCATAATTTTTCTGTAGCAAGAAAGTTGACATTTTGTACATCATTCAGAAAATATTCATGTAGAAAGTTCATGAATATATGTGATTTATAGTAATTTATAATCTCAAAATTTGCATTTCTCTACTTGCAAAAGCATAATAGGAATAATATAAACAGAATACATAAGGGTTAGATGAAGAACTGTTGTATTTTAATGCTCGATGCATTTATAAAGACAATATGCTATTATATATTTATGAACTTTATTCTAATACTTTTAAGACATTCTCATAATGAAGTATACTAATGGACCTATAACTTTATTATTTTATCCTGAAAACTATTTCCCATTTTGGCAGCATTTTATTTCCCTTGGGAGGATTTTCCCCTTTGATGCTATGGCTGTGTCAGACAGTCTCCTTGGTTTCTGGTTCTCCTCAGTCTGAGTGGTCAGTCCCTTTTGGGCCCTGTCTCTAGATGAGGCTTCTCCCTAGACCCCTCTGTTCCAGGTCTGGGTCTAGGGCAGAGACAGGGCCCCCTGGATCCTGGTCATCCCTCAGACGTGGATGTGGCAAAGTGAGATGTCCACAATGAGTATTAGTTTAATACTCTGCTTACTAGGGTCACATAGTTCTTGATGGAAATGGGGTGTAGGTCATCAGGTTTTAAGTAGCACTTAAAGCAGAACCAAGATTGTTTTTTTACTTAAAAAAACAAAGAGGAGGCTGAGCTCATTGGGATGTGTAGAGTCCCAGCTACACCAGAAGTAACTCAGGAGGATTATTTCAGCCCAGCCTGGGCCACATAGTGAGACCCTTCCCTAAAATTAAAAAAGGGCTATTTTTTACAATTGCTTAGTTATACATTTCCTAAAGCTATTTTATAATTGCTTACAGAATAGTCATACTGAATACCAAGTATTAAGTTTATGCAAAAATAAATAGTTCTGGTAAAACTATATTTGGTTTAAAAACACTTTGACATTTGTAAAGTTAGTTTGGTGTTACTTTTTATCAACTGTCAGTGCTGTGGAAAATGTATAGTATGTTAAAAATAGGGCAAGAAGTTTCATTGCCATTAAAATGTACTAATGTCAATAGCGTATTTTATTATTCTGGCTCATGATAAACAAAAACCTTAAAATTAAATTTGAATTAATTTAAGATAATTGATATTTTTGTTGTAGAGAGCCTGTGCCAATTGCCAGTTCGTAGAGTACTTGCTCCTCAGTGGCTCTTTGTCCCAGGGACTGGGCCGAGTTCTGGAGCAGCAGGGAGCTCTACCTGCAGAGACCCTGCCTGGCAGAGACCCAGGCCCAGGTCCCAGTGGAGAGCTGAGCTCCATCCCTGAGTATCTGTGATACATAGTTTTAAATGTGTTGCAATTTACTGTAGCTTAAAGAATAAGCACAAACTTATCTTATTTTCTTATACTTTTAATCCTCTTGATTCAATCTTTTGCTCATATTGGTTGGTTTGACTTCAGGAATCAAACCTCTTAATTTTGTTGATCAGAAACTCATTCTACTGTGTGAAGTTTTTGGTTTTAAGAGATGAGATTGTAACATCAGGTGTTTGTTTCCTCTTTAAAATCATTTTTCAGCTGCTCGGCGCGGCACACAGGACCAGCCCCTGGTTTTCCACAGCACTGTCCAGTCATCAGGCTATGCATCAGCACCACGGTGAGTGCTCAGGCCACCAAGGATGTAGCCCCTGGAATGTCACAGCCACTGAAGAGGTATCGGCTGTGGCAGTACCCTACCGTGTCCAGGGCCTGGGGTCTGTGTGGAGTCCTGGTGGGGATAGGACCCTGCTCACAGGCTGGCGAGGGTGATGACGCTTTAATGGGACATGGCCCATTGGGCCTGAGTTACTGTCCTTCCTGGCAACACAGCTGTGCTGGAGCATTGGGAGCTGGACATGCAGCGTGTTCAGCACCTCTTCTGGGAGGAGGTGCAAAACAGGGCCGGGAAACTAAACAAAGCCCCACGTCCCTCATCCTTCTCAGCCGATATCTTAAAGACGAATTTGACTTTTCTGTGTAAATGCAGACTGACCCCCTTCCTCCTGCTGTTGACACCAGGGACCTGCACTCGGGGCAGGCTGAGCTCTCCCCACTCCGCCACCTCCACCGAGAGCCCACCTGACCCCAGCCCAGGGCTCTGCTCTTTGTAAAACTACAGCCTCCATGCCAAGCCTTTCCGGTGCTCCTTTCTCTCTGGCCAAAAGGACTTGCTTTACTCACTGTCTGTCCTGTAGCCTCCTGTGCCTGTGTCGGTGCTGGCATCTCAGGCCTTTCCTAAGGCACCTACGGTGGGGGGGAGATAGAGGGAGACACAGATAGTGGGGACATGGATGGGTGAGAGGCGTCATGGGTGGATGGGTGAGTGGGGATGTGGATGGGTGAGAGGCGTCATGGGTGGATAGGTGAGTAGGGATGTGGACAGGTGAGTGGGAATATGGGTGGATGGGTGAGTGGGGAAGTGGATGGGTGAGAGGGGACATGGGTGGGTGAGTGGGGAAGTGGATGGGTGAGTGGGGATGTGGGTGGGTGAGTGGGGAAGTGGATGGGTGAGAGGGGACATGGGTGGGTGAGTGGGGAAGTGGATGGGTGAGTGGGGATGTAGGTGGGTGAGTGGGGATGTGGAT